TAGTGAGTGTATAGATTTAGAAGGGAAATATTTCTGTTATTAAGATAAATTTTAGTTATCAGAGATTCAAATGAGGAACAACCATCAAAAGTTACAAATTTGTAATAATCAGAAATAATCATAATAATCAGAAATAAGCATGATAAGCTTACTTCCACGAGTATTTATTTTTTAAATAGTTTATACTTACTTCCATACTTCCCTGATACTATAAAGCCGTCGAAATTTAGTTTCCGATTATCAGTAGAGTCATCCAACTCCATTTCATTAATACAAAAAATATTTCATAATATTTATTTCATAACGTTAATATAATATTTATAATAAATATTTCATAACTTTTCTATTAATACTATTAATACTATTTGGGTTATCAATTACTAAGAGATCGTAAAGTTTATATTTTAAATTTCTTGCATTAAATATATGAAGATGTATAAAGATAAAGATAAATTACTTCCTATTTTATTAACCTTACTTGACAAGTTGTCCTAGGCTGTTGTAGTTTGATGAGAAAAAGGTGGAATCGAAAAATTGTTCATCGATGCAAACCATTAGTGAGGCTGCGTGAATTAGAAAGATTATTTGAAAATTTCTGACAGGATTTCTATTTCTTCAAACTGAGACTCTGATTTCGCATACGACATTCTTTTCGCAACTGTTTGTTTAGAAATAGTTCTCTTTTTGCTAAGTCTTTCCGCAAAAAGCTTCCATAAGGAACAATCGAGCGCACATTCTTATTACTCAGTCATAATCACGTACTTATCTTCAAGTCTTAAGTACTCGTGATATGATGCTCTGGATTGATTTGGATACCTCTTGAGTAGGAGGATATCCATTATTCGAGTCTATCACACATTTAAATATTATAGGGAAAAGGACGCATTTCTTATCTTATTAATCATCATTAAACTTAATCAGAATGCTCTCCTCTTACAGTCTATAAGTTTTTAAAAATTCTAATACGCATTTCTTCATTATTTATGTTCATTTCACTGATTATCTCTAGAGTTTGGTTGCTCTGTGAAGAACGCAAAATAGGATCCAGTTATCATTTACGCAAGTCGCCATCTCCATTTCAGGATCATACTAATCTAGTATAATGCTTTTTTTCCAGTACCTGGATTGCTTTTATTATTCTCTATCGACCATTTCTTTCAACCAGCTAACTATCGAATATCCGATTGACAAATTCTGGTGTGAATTTTGACCTTCTTCCGGATAGCTACTTATATACTCTAGGATCAACATTTATATGTTGTTCCAAAGATATCAGTGCTATTCAGATATTTCGATAATTCATTTTCAGATATTCAGATATTTGCTTTTTTTGCGGGTTTTAAATCGAGCCACAGCCTAGTCTGCCAATTTCAGCCTTGGAGTAGAAACGGACCTATTTAATGGAATATAATTAATATAGTTGTAATGTTGGTTATTGTTGATCATTCCAATTCTTTTTACATTTATGGGGGAATAAATTTTTTCTCTAATTCCAAGTGTGATAGTAGTGGCAAAATCTCTGTTTCCTCTAGTTTCTCGATTTGTCAGCAAAGTGCTTTTCATTCGAATCGGGCTCTGACACCGTATTTGCCAATTATACAACTACTATGCTCTACTCGATAATTTCCATCTCCCTCAATTTCGATCATACCACCTTTTGGAGCTATTTTGTCTTTCGATTTTTTTAACCATTCATATTCCATATCTCTAAGATTTAAACCCCGTCCTATGTTGAGGTATTTACCTTTCTCAATATAGATTTTGACCAGTAAATTTTCTTAATAGATTTTAACTGTCTCTTGAGAACGTTCTATACTGGATTTTTTTATTAGACCTATTTTTACGGCATGTGCCACCGGATTATCATATGTTTAGGCGAGACGGATGCCTTATAAAGATAACCATGCTCTTTTGTCACGAGTCAGGTTGATTTTTAGCGATGCCCATTAGACTTGTATGACTGATTTCGTGTCAAAAGATTAGAAAGAAAAATAAGACAGAAGAAAAAAGATTAAACTGTAATCAGAAGCACGAAACTTTATTCTCGATTTATAAAAATACAAGTTTTTTCTCTTTTTAATGTTTTTTATAATATGTTGTTATTCGTAATTGTGGGTACAGAAAATACAAAGGGGACAGAAATTTTACTCATTATTTTCGAATTTAAAAAATTGTTTTAGGTGGAAAATTTGGGTAAGTCGATTAGCTTGCTAGAGACAGAATATGCAAAACAGTGGGCGAAAGAAATTCGAGAATATTTGGAAGGCCAGAATTCGACGCCATCGTTCTTAGCAGCAATAACTTTAACGTTAAGTCAGCGACCGAACTATGCTCATTCATATAATTTTATTTCCTTTAATAGTTCTGACTGAAAATAGTTGTTTAATATTGTTAATGGATTTTTTATATCTCATTTGTCTTTTTGAAATTTTTGTCCAGGAAATTAAGTATAATTAAATATATGTTAGGTTGAATTCTTTGATTGATTTCGCTGTTTTTGGTTGTTTTTTTCGTTGTGCGCGAGATTTTGACTAATTTTAATTTGTTATGTGCGAATTTTTTGTTCTCTGGTTCTGTGAAGGAAATGTTTCAAAAATGCTCCATTTTCTTTTTATGTTTAGGGTAAAAATATATCGAATAATGCGAACCTTTCTCTTTGAATTTTTGAATCCAATTGCATTTCATATATTCGCTTTTTGTAGATCTAATTTTCATATTCTTTTCTTATTGCAGAAGTTTTATGTTTTGAGTTCTTTATTTTCCATTTTCATCGCAGCATCATTAATATATCGTTTTTATATAAAAATTATTTTAGGAAATTTTTTACCAAAAGGAATATTTATTTAGAGAATCCTAATTGGTTACCAATTTTTAACTCGATTCGAATGAGCAAGTGGTTGTAGCACTCGCCATTTCTGGTTAATCTTGCTGCGTTCGATTGTTAGTATAGATTAGAAATTTTTGTTACCTGTCAAATAACAGAAAATCACAGATGAGTCGCCAGAAAGAAAAATTCATTTGGCGACAAATTTATATATATATATATATATATGGCGCGTGAGTTCCCTATCAACATAATAATATGTGCCACTACCTGTTCGGGTGTGTGGTCCCATTCTCAACTAATTTTTTCCCGAATGATTTATAGCCAATTTTTTCTTGTTTATTAGCGTAAAATCTTCCATTTCAATGCATCAAAAATTTTCTCGGGTTAAATTTGTTCCAAGGCGTCTACTTCATTTATAATTTTTATGGCAACTAAAGTTTTCTGATAAAATTTAAGTGAATCTATGGATTTCATAATTTTTTCAATAATAATTTTGGAAATACTTTAATTGGAAATTTTGAAATTAAATAGGATTTGAAGCCTGTGAAATAAATCAGTCATTTAATGAATGAATTAATATCTATAAAACCGTTGTTATTGACCGTTGTTAAGGTGAATTAATTCAACATGTCATCTGGAAATCGAACACCCGATCCACTTGTCTTTTCAACTCCAATCATAAAAACACCAATCAGTGACAAAATCAGTCTCCCAATGTCACAGCAAGGTTTGATAACTGTATTGAAAGAATCGATCATTTGATGTAACCTTCATTTAAAACGGATTATTTTTGCGAGAATTCTGTTTGTTTACCGAAATTTTAAAAAAAAACCATTGCTGATCTTATAATTTATACGTGCGAAATCGAAAGAATTATGCTTTATTTCCATCTGTATTTGTAGGTCGACCGTGTGGTTTCTTTGAAGAATTGTTCTTTCGCTGTATGGAAGCGTATGGTGCAAGATTAGGTCGTATATATTGCGATTTGGAAAATCGCGATTTCAGAGAATGTTTGACTTCTGACAAACAAGTAAAAATATAGTTAATATTTGCTTTCTATCTGATTTGCCCAAAAATTACCTTCTAAATCAGATTTTTTTCCATTTCATCTTCTTATTTCAAATAAATAAATTAAATTAAATTTTTGTTGCTAAATCTCAAAAGTCATGTAAATATACAAAAAAGGAAGATATTTTTTTTCAGAGAAAACGTATTAATGCAATCCGCAACGAAAGAAGACGTAAATATAGGAATGGTGAAATAGCGGAAGCGTTTGAAAAAAATTTTCCTGAATTTGGGCAATATAAACCGGATTATTTTTCGCATAATCGTGTTCAATAAGCATTCTTTAACAGTGTAATAATATTATTTTGCTTTATTGAATTGTAGTTTAATTTAATAAATTTTTTTCAATTTGGTATTTTTTTCTAAAATCTTTCGAATCTAAAATCGCTATTTTATGGCACTTTGAATAAAATTCTTAAATTATGGTAATTGATTGTTTTTTTATTTTCTATTAGTTGATTCTGAAAAATAGAAGTGATACATGCTACTCTATTATAAGAATTGTTGTAATTGTTGCTTCGACTGAGGTCAATCAAACATCATGCATTTGGTTTTCATTCCTTAGCGTGTGGAGTTTGTCACGGAAAGTGGGATTAGGGTGTTGCTGGAGGAATTCAGGTGCGGTCATACCTCAGGTGAATGTCTGATTCCTTCCATTGAAACAATAAGCTAAGCCAGACAGTCGAAAAATAATGGATAACGTTCGAAGACGAAGGAGACTATTATCTCTGCAAAAAGTGCGTAACATTATCTGATATCAAGGAACTATTTATTGCGTATTATATTATTTCAATCTATATTAGGATTGCTTTATTTTTGTTTCAGGATATAGGATCTAATTCGTCGAAAATCAGAAATGGGTTGCAATGATGTTTGGGTTAAAAACTTATGTTCGGAAAATATCAATATAGTAGGAATGTTGAGAAAGCGAGAGCTTGGAATTCGTAAGTCAGGTAGAAGCATATCGACAGAACAATCTAAATTTCATAGTTTCCATGAAACATGTTTGCAAGGATTAACAAGGATTTTTTCCGCCAGTTTATAGTAGATTTGCGGATCCTTTGCGATGTTTTATTGAAGAAATTTTATTTATTTATTTTAATTTTATTTATAAATTTTGTTTTATTTATTGAATCTTACTTATTTAATAATTTATTATGTTGGAAAATTCAGGCTTTCATATTTTGAGTGCAGAATTAAGCTAAATATTTTGTATTAATATTTATTTATTTCGAATTCAAAATTTATTTTTTAGGAACTCACTTTTTTTGCGGTGCTCGAGAATTTTTTCAGTGCATTCATCCAAAGCAAAAAATCGAAGCTAGCGTTCCAGGGCACTTGATTATTAAGAGGTTTTTTATTTTTTTCGCACTTTTATTTTATTATATTCCATAATATTTTCTTTGAATTATTTCTTTTCGAATTATTTTATTTATTTTTAATTTCATTTTTAATTTATTTATTGTCAAAATATTTTTCCTTTTTTTGCATAGGCTATAATGATTTTTTGCTATATTTCCACTTTTTTATTTCCACTGCCACTAAAAGACATGGTGCGTAAATGGTTTAGTCGTATGATCAACCATCGGGAATTGAGAATGATTCGAGTTTGAATTCGACTGACGCGCTAAGCTTTATCGGGCGGTAGTGTTGCCGAACGGCGAAGGAAAATTATGATGGGCTTAACCAGCAGTACCACTGGAAATTACTAAAATTCCATAATTTATGACCACTTAAATTTTTTATATTCTTGGCTGAGAATTTAAAATACGCATTTGCGTATTCTTTCTTTGAATTGGATTGTATGTAAATCCGATTGTCAACAAAAATTCGCTCATTGTTAATTTCATAAAATTTTTTTCCTACATAAAATAGGTAGATTTAGGTTTACGCCAAATGGAAAGTTTCTTATATGTTTCACAAAAAATGGTCGCCAGGTTTCGATTCGACATGTTACGGGCACTCGTTGCAAACAAAGTGATTTATTCAAAGTATTTTGCTTCCTTTTTTCTTAATCGACATAGTTACTGCATTTTGTAAAGTGGAATCTAACAATTTATTTATAGAATTGTTATATTATTTGCCAAGCAGTTTTATTTCATTCAAATTTCGAAAAAACACGCTCTTAACACTTAGCAATTTTCGGATATTTTCATAGACCTAATAGGGAATTCTTTTTGTCTCACACTTTTTGATGAATATTTGGCCATTTAGGTGATGTTTCCTCAAAAAACGTTGATAGATATTGTACCCGACGTTGGTGGGCTGGATGCAAATTGCTTTTTTATAACACATGATTCGCGTTATTTCATTGGTAAATCCTTTAGAATTGCTTAAGACAACATTAAATATATTTAATATAAATATATTTACAGGAGTAGCTGTTCAATCTATTTATGAACGTTCGTTATTTCAGCATTTTAGTATGAATCTGCATCATGAATTTGGCGATTTTTCTTTATATCCAAATTACATTTTCTATTGTATCGATCTTTTGGTTAGCAATTATATATGATTTTCAAATCAAATTGTTTGAAAAGTCTAAAGTGGTTTCAATTGCTTTCCTTCACAGATTTTTTAGATTAATTATTATTATTTCTAATATTCATCTGCATTAGATACATTCACCGTAATTTTGAAGAAAGGTCATATGTGTGGCACTTTCCGAATCAAATCAAACCTACTTGCACTTGTGCATGGAATACATTTAGTGGAATATACTCTCGCGATATTATCATACCAACAAGACACAATATATTTTATTTGCATCAATCAGAATACTGGAGAATTTATTTATTTGAAAAGTATCGGGAGGTGCTTGGTTTGATTTCTAAAATATAAGAAAAATTCTAGTTAATCGATTGGATAAATTTAGAATGATCAGATTGTCCCTATGTGCGTTCATCTTCCCATGTGATTTTATCTCCTTATTTTACTGAATAATTCGTGACTAGTAAAGTTTATCTTAATATAAAACCTTATCTAGATTTTTGATTATCTTGGCGAATATACTGCTTTTAAAATTATTTTTCAGGATAATGATGGCGAACGATTCTTTTTATGTTTCGGGAATGTGGCTGGATCCCTTTCCGATGAGCAGTCATTATTGTTTATCGGGTTTTCTTAAAAAATTGCTTTTTCAACTTCACTTTTGCAATTTTATTATAGTAATTAATGTGAAGAAAATATACTAGAAAATATACTATAAAAGAAAAAAATTAAAAAATAAAAAAACATACAAATAAAAAAAATAAAATGTAAAAAAATACTTAAATTTTATAACAATTAAACTTTTATTCTTTAATTAATTTAAACTTTACTATAATAATTAAATTTTTTCTTTTTTTTCACACTTAATGTGAATTTTAGGCCTCAAGCAGCGTATTTTTACTTTCAAGTTTTTGAATTCCGTTAATAAAGCAAATGTTTTCCACTTTCTTTCCAATTTTTATGAATATAAGAAATTGACTATGATGAAAATTCAGCTGATGTTTTCTGATATGGTTTTAATTCAGTTCGGTCGCAGAGGTCGATTTCGCCATTTTTTCATTGTTTTTTTTTCTGTTTTTCCTATTCTATTTTGGATGTGTAGAAAATTTAATATTTTTATTAAATTTATTGAAAACCTTGATTTTATAATTTTCACATTTAAGTAAAGAAATAGCTCGATTTTGGGTCTGCGTTTTTTTTTTATTTGAATTCGAAATTTTTCAGATTATAGTCAATTGAGAAATGATGTTAGTCGAACCAAAATGTATGTTATCGCGAATTGGGTAACGGGTGAAGTTCTCGCGATTTACGATTACTATAATCTTGGATGCCTCGGAGAATTGTGCACTATGTTCCAAGAGGAATTAAAATATCCATATGTTTTGGAAAATCGCTTCCCTCTATCGTCTAATTATTGTCACGCTACAAAAATGGCGGGTGGTGAATACCCTACGGCACAACTCTTCTTCCCTAGTAATTCACAGTTCACAATTCAGTTGAAAAATTATTTGAATTATTGCCACAATATTCATATAAGATTATTGTTAAAATCAGCACATCATATTTTTCTTAATTTTCTAAATATTCAACAATAAATTTGCGTTATAGAATTTGTGGATATAAAAGATAGTTCATATCCGTTTCCAAGGTGGATTATGCCATCTTCATCATCTATGGATACACCATACTTAGATCAGACGATGTTTGCGTTCGATAAAACTTTTGAAACAACTTTATGGAATGGTTTTTATGATTGTCAGTCAACATTTAGGTAGGTCGATCTTTTTCTATAAATCGACAAAATTATGTTTTGCATTTTATTTGAACGAATGTCAATATGAAATAAATTTGGCAGCATGACCTTATAAAGTAGTGAAACTATATTCGAAGCAAATCGTCACTACCGATTATTATTGGTGGAGACTGAAACGTTGGAGCTTGCTTTTATAATAAATTAATTTTATGAGCACTTCTCTTCTTCTTAATTTCTTAACTCATTATTTCGTTTTATTTATTTTATGCATGAAGATACACGATTATATTTATTTAATTTGCCTAAATCTGAGATATAACTGCAACGAAATTGGATTAAAATGATGGATTGGTTTGAAAGAGTTGTTGATTTGTTCTTCATTGTGTAAAGTTGAACAGCCTAGCACCATTCTGTTTCACTTGCTGTTAAATTTGTTTTATCGCCTCAATACTATTATTTTTAAGATTTTTCTCTCGAATCACTGGACAGTATCTTTTCAAAATCCAAGCAGATTCGATTTGCAATAGGCTTCTGTTTGTGCCAGATTTGCCTTTGGCTATAGCATTCGATTGCACTGGATTATCATCATTAATGGCTTTTTATTTGCCAACCACGTTGGATGATGAGCAAAGAAAAGTAATGTGAATAAATTTGCGAATAGTTTTTGAAAAAACGTAGAAATAAAAATATTTTTTCACCGTCTTTCGTCGACAAGCGTGAATTTGAGAAATTTCTTGAAATTTTTCGTCAAGTTGAATTGACCATATTTTGCCATCGAAAGCCAAAATTTGCTTAGATAATCACCTATTCACGTGCCGATGTTTTTGTATGCCAAATGATTAATATGCTTTATTTGATTGCCATCTGAGACTGTCTTTTCATATTATTTTCTTCTTCGCGCTTCATTCAAATTATCGCCAACTTTATTTAAGCCATTTGAGCTATTATTTCCTCGAATAATTTATTATTTCTTTTCAAACCGACTCTTTCGTACCGTTTATGCGTTCTTCTTTTTCTCAGATCCCTGCGTATCTTTTTCGCTTATATCACTAATATTTGCTGTCGTCCTAAGGTGATGAGCGATATTTCAATGTTTTTTCGTTTTTACTGTTGCGTTAAATTATTGTTGTATTGTAAATTTGTACAGGCGAATAGATGTTTTTTTTATTAATCGTTTGTGTATAATTTGGAATAAATATCATTTGATATTAACAAACAATTCTCATTTTTTTCTGAAGTACTTTCGATGATTAGAAACCGTCCAGTAAAGTTGAAGTAAAGTCTGATGCTCCAACAAAAAATATGTCTTAATGAAGCGCTTTATTGAAACGAGCTTCGACAAACTCCTGTTTGTTAGATTTGCCAAAGACAAACTTCGCATTATTTAAGCCTTGCCAAAATTTTGGTGCTTGTTACGATTCGAAGACCAGTTCGAGAAATGATGAGGTCACCTTTAATCGAGATTCATGTCGCTCTAATTGGTATGACTGGTTGCGGTAAATCAGGTATGGCAGCGTTCATGCTTATTTAGCGAATTTTAAAGTATAATTCTAAATATATTAGTAATAATTCACTGCTAATTTTCACTTCCTTCTCGTCGATTTATTCAAATTTTTAAGATAAATGAGAGCGACATTCCGCATCAAATTATCTTTTAGCTCTTGCCGTAAAATACATTGCTCGAAGATTTATTGGAGAATACGATCCCGAACTTGGTTTGCCACTCTTCTTTTCGCTATTGGCCATTGTTTCGAGCAAAATTGCTGTTTGATTGCTGTTTATTGACGAGAAGAAATTTTTAAAGATTTTAGTAAACTCAATGAGAGCTTAAAGTAGTGATCATCTCTGAAGAGCATCGGTGATTTCGGTTAAGTCGATCCAAACGACCATAATTTCTTTTCTCTCGATCATTATGAAATAAAATTTTTCGCTTAGAGGACACTTATTGTCGTCAAGACACAATAATGTCACAATCACTGATGGTGTGGTTAATGGATACTGTGGATGGTTCAGGTCGAGATGCAATGAGGTATCTTTCTTGGGCTGATATATATATTGTCGTAAGTCGTTTATATCTTCCTTGTTTCATGTCACCATTCGCGTTTCATTTCATTTGTAAGGCGTTTCGTGATAAGTCACTTCGGGATAGGAATTTGTAGATGACTCCCCAGCATTGATACTCGCATTTCACTTTTTATGGCCAAGTTTTCCCTCACATGCGTCTCTCGCATCACAGTTGAAGCCACTTAAGCCTATACCACTTAAGCCTAATATTTCTATCTATTTATATGCGTCAGATATTCAAATTTTCAAATTTTTTCAAATTTTTCAAACTAGTTGGCTATTAAATTGCATATAAAGTTTTTGAAATTTTTTGGTTTTATTCTAATTTTAAAAATCCAAATTTTCAAAATTATGAACAAAAACTAGATGCGCTTTTTATTATTTTTTAATGAAGAAACAGTATTATTATAATTCAACTAGTTATTTAGGTATACGATGTAACTTCACAATTATCACTACAATATGCTGAATCAATTTTCCAGCAAATTTCGACGCATGAACATCATCTTTGCGCTCGACCGCATAAATCTTTGTTAGTAGGAAATAAGACTGATCTCGAACGATACAGGTGCCATTTTGTGATAAAAGAATTAAAAGTGATGTGATAAGATAAAATAGATGTCTTCTGAATGTTACAAGATAACGAAGCCTCGCCAGATCATGAAAATTGATCAATTAAATTATGACAAATTCTTTTTTTCCTGTTTTACCCATATGTTTTTTGCCTTAATAGAAGGTGGACCAGACAAGGGGCAGCCTAGATGAGATTGCGAGATTGCGACCAAAGTTTATTCAGATCTAGGGATAGGAGTATGTAGGATTGTACGACTACATACCCATAGAACATAGACTTGACCCTGGTCGGAATGACGCTTTTACCTTTCTCATTAGCCAACATTGTATCATTGGCTCTTTTCAAGATTTCCATGGAAATCTACAAAATATTGTTAAAAGTTGAGTTTACGATTTCATTTCAGATAGTTTATAATATTCCATCGGAAAAAGTTTATTAGGGTAATTTTCACGCTAATTTTTTATCGTTTTATTTTTATTGTAGACAGGTTAATGAATCGGATGGCGAAAAATTGGCGAAACGTTTTGGTGCACTTTTTGGTGAAATATCTGCTATCGATGAATATGAACATGTGGAAGCATTAATACGTCAACCAATTGCTTCTCTTATCGCTGAACGTACCAAATATCGCAGTCCATCGCCTCGGCTTTGCTCTTCGGATTCCGAAATCGCTTCAACTGGTTATTATTTTAAAGATATAAACCAAGAAAAAAACAAGTTGGAAATAGTTGGCGATATTGTTACATTGAAAAGTATTGAAAGGTACATATCCTTGAAGGGTAAAAAAGTACATATCCTTGCACCACTAGGATTTCATTTTACAACAACTAAAACATATTTAACAACAACATATTTGCGTAGCTGTCGAGCCTTGCTGCTTGAACTCAGTTGAAACAATAAGCGACTCGGCTGTTTTATCCCTAAAGGAAATCATACTATTAGCAAGAATCCATAGATAGCAAAATTGTAATTACGGAAAGAAAAGCAAATGTTCATCTCTCGAATGAGCACGAGAATTTTTTCATCTTCATAACTATCAGAAGGAAGAGGAGACGGACAACATGTTTAAATATATGATTGGGAATGCCAATATAACATTGACATGTTACAAAAAATGCCTGAATATATATGTATATATTTTAGGCAGTAAAAGTAGTTTATCAGCTTCGCTCAAAAATACTCGACGATCGAAGAGTCCACGACCACTTGATGCCATGAAAGCTTCTACTTCGAAGAAAACCGGAAATAAACTTTTAAAACTTTTTCACAACTGAATTATACGATCTCTTTAAAATACTAAAATTTATTTAGCTTTTTAAGTATCGTTAGCAGATCACTTTTGAATGTATTGCATCCATCAAATACTTATCATCTGTTATATAACAATAAGGTCAAAATTAGGTTCGCAGCATATATTTTTACTTCATTACAATGATTCTATCTTGGTAATGAACCTTCTGATCTTCTAACAACGAAGTAGGAAACAATAATAGGAAGAGGCTGAAAGTAAATTCTAAGAACTATCCATTAGTTTTTGCCCAACTTTAATTTTTTTACTTAATTGATGTTACTGCCATTTCTTAATAATCACAGTAATACAAGAATAACGGTTGTTGACATGACTTTTTTACTTGTAAGGTTAAACATACAAGATTCACCTCTTCCAGCAACACTCGCCAATGCAATCTATGAAGGTAAGCTGCTCGATTCGAAATGCCCTAATCATAGTATGCGAATGATCTTTTTTATTTCTTCCTACAAGTTCTTGAATGCGTTTAATAAATAGTTTTAAGTATTAATAATAAAAGAAATCATTCAACAGTAATCACTGGAGAAGACGCGCCATTGTTTTAAATTTATTCTCGAGTATTTCTGTTCGTGCCTCCAGCCTCATGTAATCCTTTTTCAATTCACGATAATCTCTTCTAAGTTGAGAATTCTGCTGACGCAATTGCTCGATTTCCCATTCCAAATCGTCTCTTGCCATATGTGCAGCCCTATTAATAATATCAACCATAATTTTTCAAATTTTTTTAACTGTTTGGACAAAATGAAAAAATAACAGTTGAAAATGAATAATGAAAAAAGCCTGAATTGTTTGTATTTATTTAATTCAATTTAAGAACCTATATGTCCATTTGGTTTTTTTTATTTTTAACAGTTGGAAATTTTTTTAGCGGAAATTTTTTACTATTCCTCGTTTCCTTAGTGGCACTTTATTAGAAAATGAGATTTCTGCAGACAGTATAGAAGAGCAGGTGTGTCTTTAACCATAATCCATGATCCAGATTTCGCTTTCATAAGTCACAAGACAGCGAACTCACTCAAGTGTTTGATTTTAATCAAAAAAATATGTTAGCTCTTTTGCCGGGTAATTATGTTTTATTGATAATATTGAAAGCCTTACCAAGCAGAAGTGGCGTGCATGTGGAAAGCAATATACACCTATTACTAAGCTAAAATTGATAACAATTGATATTGTAAATCTTTGAATGAAACTCGAAAAACCACATTTATATTATTGTAATTTATTGCTTACTTTTCTAATTTATTAACTGTCGAATCAATCATAAAACTGTCAATTCTTTGTAATTGTTGTATGGCTTTAAGTCGAACGACTTCGCCTAATCTTTCTTCCATCGAATTTTGCATTGTTATTTTAAAATGAATTTGTGCACGTCGAGCTAATTCAGCAATTGGCTTCCAGTCGACAAATAACTAAAAATACAATATGAAAAGTTATTGAAAAATAGGTCATAAATAAACCAAGTATGTGATAAGACGGCCAAGTGATAGTGGCGTGCATTATCGTGTTAATAGGTAAAAATACGATGCCAGTAGACTGGAACACAGATTGCTGCGTTCTCATCGCTATAAAAGTATTTCACTTGTATAATAATTTGGATATTTCAACTTTTTCTTGTGGAACTGAATGTGAAACAGGAAAATTGTTAAATATCACTTTTCGAGCACCGCAATATATGAATTTAGATGAAACGGCTAACAATGGTGCAGTGGTAAAGAAGTGGGATCTAATATTTATCACTAAAAAATATCAAAGATATATGTTAGAAATAAAAGAAACAAAAGTTTACATTATTTTCGCCCCGCATTATTTTTTCAGCTTTATTGATAATATCGAAAGTTTTATCAAGCAAATCTCCATATGGAAAGCAGCATACACCTATAAATGTGATATTCGATTTTTTCGCATAAAATAAATGTAGTTGTAATCCTTCACTATTACTAGATTTTTTTTTAAAGAGCCCTCTCCATTATTGTTTCAACTTACTCCTTTAATCCATGCATTTTGGAGGTTTACTCCTGCGAGGATTAGAAAAAACCTCAGCATCGGCAATTGAGCAACAACTCACTTAGCCATTTTAGTCTCTTCTGCTTTTTTCCATTAGGGCGATAGTGCCGCCTGACGAAGAAAAACTCCAGGTGGTGCGTCGGCGAATTCGAACCTAGCCCTTGATTTTCCGTGACAATTATCCACTGAGCTACCAACGCACGTGCTATTACTAGGTAACAATATATAAATTGTCTCATCATAAGTGATTAGTTGGTTCCGACATGTTAGAAATTTTTGGCAGGGAGACACTAAGGCAGGTAAAACTGGTATCACCTGGATTTTTTCACAACAACTTCCCTCTCCTTAAGGACAAAAACCAAGCCCTTGCTTCGATAATTTGAATCACTATTCATTTGACATTTGACTATGCCAATATTTGCATTGAAGAATTAATTTTAGAGGTAACTATTTTGAAGCTAATGAATATGCCTATTAAATGTATTTTCCATAATAAGGTTAAAATTAAATAAAAAATCAAAGATTCTTTTCCAATTAACTATGAGTTTTCCAGGTGGTGCTGTATTTCGCTCTTCACGTGGTTCTTTGGCGAATATCTCAATAGCTAATGAAACCAACTAAATCAGGAATGGTGATAGAAAATGGTGATGAATGTGGTGTTTTTAAGCAGTTACTAAAAGTACCTTATTAAAATTGCTAAAAATGACTTGATTAAATAATCTTCACTTTAAATAACCTTCATCGAGCGCAGGTCGCAATACGTCAACGGGATTGAGAATATGGACTTGAACACTAGTAAGAAGCGGGAGTACCTCGTGAAGATTGCGTTTATCATGAACACTTCTTTGACAATCAGTCATTAGTTTATCAGCTTTCTTAACAAGTTCATAATAACCATTGTTAAGAATTTGACCACAAAGCTCGTCCCAGTGTGGATGCACTCTCCTTATATCGCCGAGCTGAATGTCGTAATGCATTGTAATGCAATAAGCCTAATCAGCCATTTTAATTTCCATCTCTCTAAGAGGTATGAAATTTTGATACTTTTAAACCAGGGGGTTATAAAAATGAATTGTTTTAAATCACAAATCAATTAATTCTTATAACTTTATGTCGAATGATAGTATCTCCATAAATTTTTACCTCTTTGTATGACAATTTGTTAAAGACTAGTTGCAAAACCAGAACAGGTATTTCTTTATCTTGTTTCGGTACCAAATAACCGGAAAAACTAAAATAATGGGGACGAAGTATTATAATGATAATTATACCTTTATTTCAATTCTAATGATAAAAATATGAATATTTTAAATTGTCTGCTTGTTATTATTTATTACAATAATTAATATTATTGTAATAATAAAATATATATAATAAATAATATTAGTGTAATAATAAATATTGCAATGGTCTTCAGAAGAAATAAAATTCTTAATGAGAAGAGAGCCAGAAAAAATAATGAAACTAGCTGATCAATTCAATAAATTAAAAAAATCTGAATTTTATGAAAATCTATCATGCAACAATATTTTATAAATATAAGTTTTGATTCGACTCATTATGAACAGTAAGAAAGGCGCTTGGGAACAGAAATGCACGTGGAACCCCATCAACCTGCTGTTTTAAAGATAGGCTTGCTCTCGCGGATCGAAACCTTTTCCTTGAAAGCGACAATCTAAGCTCTATGAATCTCACGTTTTTTCATGTCAATATTCGTCCGACCCTCGAAGACGTTCTGCTGACGTCGATAAAGACAACAAATATGTAAAAATTTAATTCAAGTTTTAGCAAAAAAGAGAAATAATTTTACCTGTCACTTCTCGCTATTAATCTGTTTGTTTTGGGTTTTGAACTGAAGAGAGAAGTACTGCGATTAAGTGATCCATTCGTTATACCAGTTAAGGAAAATGCTGAGCCATTGATTTCGAAATTATCTTTTAAGGATTGATGGTGGTTCGATGTTTTCAAATCTTCTTTCCGTGGTTCTTCTTCCTCTTTTACAATTTTTTCTATTTGATTAATCTTATTACTTTTCGTCGTTATTTCACAGTTGGTCGCTAAGGAAAGAGTGAAGGATGCTGATAATTCATTTCCATTTATATCTGTAGACGCCTTATTTCCATGCCTTCGATCCAAATTCGATGCAACATTTGCTGCAACAAATTTTACATTCTCTGTTTCTCGCTGTTCATTACTGATGACTTTTGCTTCATCACTAAACTTTTCATCCGTTTTTTGAGATTTTTCATTATCGGAATCTGTTAATGAAACACCTGAATCAGTAGAACCATCGCCATTGTTATGGAATACTGATTCTCGGGATTTTAAAAATTTTTCGCTGGTAGATTTTTTGGCTTCTGCAGAAGTAGGATAAGCATTTGTGGTATTTACAGCTGAAATATTTGTAAAGGCCATAGCTTTCTTGCGAATTACTTTAGGACCAGCTGGTGGCTTTGTGGCTGTTGGTGTCGTCGTGCCGTTCAGTACTTTTTCCGGTGATGATTTCTTTACGACTCGCTTGACGACCTTATTTTTCATTGGAGTTCCTTCTTTTGTCAAAGGTACTATCCATAATACTACGCAATCCATCCACAAATCTGTGGATTCGGAACAAGGCGTGAAATGATGGAATTTGGCTACTCCATTATAAAGCTCCAATACAACAAAAGACCAAGTGGGACCAATTTTTGTATTAAAAGCTTCTTGAATAGGAGCTTGCCAATTATTGCCCCCTTCTAAAACTAGATGAATTGTTTCGCCAGCGAGTCCATCTGTCATAATCTCACCTTCCTGCAAAATCGTTAATCATGCCTTTGCTAAAAAGTTTAATGTTGGTGTGATTCAACAAATTTTTATTTTTGTTTGGTATAAAATTTTTTAAGATTGTAAAATTAAATTGCCATTTCATTTTTTGAACAATTTGGATGAGACAATGGTTATTCAATGAAATGAACTGCCTTCATGTTATCTATACTTGACTTAGGTCGAGAATATATCTTTAAAAAAGCTTAAAGGGCGGTCAGCCCATGTCTCCTTTAAAAACAACTTTTGCAACATCTCGGTCATCAATGTTTTATACACTTTACACAGTTTGGATAAAGAGCTGAACTTGTTAACAGCATCTCTTCCAAAGAACAATGTACTATGGTCACGAGACATCTCGTATAGGACGTTAGGATAATTCGCTATCTTCTGTGGTCAGCAAGTATGGCGTTAGACCTGGTGTGCCAACGGAGTAAGACCTGGTGTACCAATGGAGAGTACCTTCTCCGCTATGCTGAGCAGCATGGTCTTTTTGCCACCAACAGATTTTTTCAAACATTACATCGGGTTATCTTGAACTCGCCAGACAATCAACAGCCGAATCAGATTGACACCCTATACTTTTGCTAATCGTGGATGATTCTAGATAATCAAGGAATTAAAAATATCCATGAATCGGACCAATGAATTTGACAACTCGGAGGTCATAGAAGTCATAGCGTACTCCAAAATATTTCGACTATCTCAAGTTAAGAATTCAAGAGCAGCTATCACATTTCAAGCTGAGGTATTGAAACACCTAGAAGAAATTACCTTTGGTACCTCTGGAAGTGGCCGAGGAGTGCTGGTCGGAATTGAAGTCTTATCTCCAGTAGTTAACTAAAGTCTGCCTTAGCACATTAAGATTCAGAAGAAGGTTGCGCCCTGGATCTGGGAAATAGTCCAGCTGGGCGATTGCGCCATGAGTACCAGGGATGCTATTAGTAACTCTATAGACTTGCAACGGTCGCTGTTAGATGGGACAAAAAATGATATTGGGAAGATATGGCTTTGAATCTGGAGAAAGTGCTTAAATTAATGCTAGCTTAAGTTGGAACTACTGAAATTCCGCTGAGTCAGTGAAATGATCCAAAATAAGAATGGAAATCCCGTTTAGGCTATCAAAGATGTGAAGGATGTTTTAAGCGGAGAAAAGAGTTCTTTGAATCTAAATTCTACCATAACTGGCTATCCAGCATTTCGAACATGATTGGTATTTACGTATTGCGAATCACCAACGAAGCACGTCTGTAATTTCTGTAATTAGCTGTAAATATAATATCTGTAATGATTCACAAGTCCAATAAATCCAATAAAACACTTGGAGAAGATAGTCTCAGACAATCTTCAAGTGGTGCCCAGCGTCCTTCACAACACCTGCAGAGATTATATTTATTTGTGTGAAACACTGGTTGGAGCAAGGCAATTCTGCTCCTAGTTCCCAAGATTATAGATTCCCGAGATAGGATGAACTGCGCCAACTATCGAGAAATCGAGGAATTAGATGTTTCTAGGTTTTTGCCTGTCTTCTGCTGAACAGATTGGCAGTACGTAATAAGGATATCCTAATCCTATAACCCTAATCGAATATAAGCCAGAACGTGGTACTGATCAAATTTTCATTCTGAGAAGGATACGCCATTTCAATCATTGTATGCCTCGCTTTCTCAGCTACCTTTGATTCGATTAACAGGGTGCTCTGGCGGGTCATGCAAAACAAAGGCTGTTCCAGAGAAGTTATCAGATTTATCAAAATATTTTATTGATGCATCAGTGCGTGTTCGTGGAATTGACAGAATTGAACTGACTTTTGAAGTACTGTATTAAGGCTCTCCCCTACAGTTTTCAGCTATGCGGTAGGTTAGGTTATGGATAGACGACTTGCTGGTATCTAAAGAACATGGGGCAGATATTAGTTAAGAGCAGATATATCACGGACTTTGAATACGCTGAAGTTGCCCTTTCTGATGATGTTGCCCTTTCCGATGATAGTTACGAGGAACAACAATTGACACTAAAATAAGTGTCGATAGTCGGTAGTTGAAAATTTCAAATCAGTGCAGATAAGAAACTTTTATATACCAACTGATAAGATAGCGATTCAAATGAATCCATCAAAGGGGAAGTATCAATAATAATATCTCGGATCTCTCATATTTAATGGCCATAGAACAGATGAAATTCCAGCTCGGATAGCTCTTTCTTTCGTCTGGCGAAAACTCTCTGAGTGCATTAGTGCGAAATTATCATCAGAGGAAAAGTTCGCCTTTATTTGGCTGTTGTAAAATGCATAATCCTGCTATCAGGCTTTTGCTTAAGAAATGGAACAAATGGACAAAGCTCACATGATTGCTCCATTTTTGCTAAAATACCACCTGCATTAAGAATGTCGTCTGCTTTGTTTGGTTTTACTTTAAGGATTGGCATTGGATCGAGAGGCTTAGGAACATTAAATCTTTCTCGCTAGTGGAGCGAACTAAACCAGCAATACGGTCCAAAAGACCGTAGAAAATAAAAACATTGGAAGGTAGGAAATAACACCAACAAATGGGATTCGTAAGCTTTAATTCATTTTATCACACTAAAAAAGACCTTGAGGTATTTTTAATGCACCACATATTAAATTCAAAAGTGAAAGATTTAAAAAAAATGACATGATAACTATATGAATTGTCTGTTTAAATCAATTTTTCAAAATTTTGCTTTCTTTTCCTAACAGCATTCACTAACCATAATTTGATTACTCCACTGGTTAAAAAGCTTCATCCAAGAATCACTTAAAAATGGAAATGGAAATATGAGTGGGTTCATAATATTATCCAGATTTTAATTTGTCAAAAGAACTGAACTGAACTGAATATGATTGGTCTTATCCGAATGAATATACCATCTGACCATATTTTATCGCCGAATTTTATGAAATTCAACATTGACGAGAAACATTGGGGTATATGGGTTTTTACAAGGATATATTTGTTCAAAAACTAATGGATTTTTTTAATACGAATAAAATAGCCCGCTCGTGCTAGTTAGAAGTTTTTTAAATTTTTAAATTTTTTAAAAAAATTATAAAAAATTTACGGTTAGGAAAGAAAAAAAAGAAATGATGATAGAAGTACGAGTTGATGACCAATACCACACGCATTTTTCTAGTAACAGGTTTGCCATTGTCGGAAGCGGGCCAAACTTTTCTCCTCTTATTGCTCCTCTTATGGACCCATTAGAAATCGAAGAAAATTGTTATTATTACACTGATTTTAAATATCTCGGATCCACTCTAATTCCAAATGGCCAAACGAAAGATGAAGTCACAAACCCTGATAACGGTAGTTATAAATGTTTTCTTCCGATTAATGAAAGCTTTGTGGATTCGTTGTGAAATCACTATAAAGACGAAAAGCCGTATCTGCATAGCTGCGATTCGCTCGATTTTGCTATATGACTTGCTATATGCTATATATGATTTTGCTATTTTGCGAGATGTGGCCTATGGGAGTGGAGAATATTATCTACCTTTGATCACTTTATTTATTCTAATGTCTAAGATACATCATATGGGTTCTAGGGATTTAGCGAACAAAATCTCACATGATCGCATTCATCTTCGTTCAAATAGCATTAATAATGTTATCACAGATCGTCGCCTTCGGTGCTTAGGGCACCTCCTTCGTCGACCCCCACAGTAATTGACACATATTTTATTACTTGCTAAAGCCTATGACGGATGGCATCAAAAGCGAGGTGGACCAATCAAAATAGTCAAAAAGGATTTTGAATGTTTAGGTGGATCAGAGATATTTGAACTTTGAAGATGGAAGAGGGAATGGCTTTATTACTATCGATGATGGCGTCGGATCGAATAGCGGCATCTTCGGTATCCTTTTAGTTAGCGGAGTTAGCCTAGCCAGTAATTGTAAGAACTATTTGAAAGAAAAAGTTATTTATTCTCAAAGCATTTTCAAAATGTTAACTAACTGAAATCGATTTGAGGATATAAAAATCATTCGGTGGCGGAGTTCCAGCTGGGTGTAAAAAAATTTTCTTTCCAAGTGAATGAAATCCGAAGTTAAATGGTGTTTCGATTAAATCAGGTGAAATTTCGACACTACATTCCACATTACTGAAGACTTTACTAACGGCATTTTGTATATCTGAAAACTGGAGCTTTTAAGTATTTAAAATTCAGTGGAATTTTAAAAATCGAATAATTTTTTCTTAATTTTCAATAATTAAGATTTTATTACTTACAATAAGAAGTTGATGTCCACGGGCAATTATATTTATCATTGCAACCATTTGTAGTAGTATATCGCTACCGAAAACCGCAAAACAACTTTTATGGTGGTTTATGGTTGCATATTATATGCAATGATGAAAATAAGAATTTTAGTTTAGTTGCATATTATGAATTTCAGTGTTAATGATTCTTGTGCCATATTTTTTAATGAGCTTTTTTATTACATTTTAATTACAAATTAAAAACTGTCTAGAGAATAGATGAAAAAAATCGCGAAAACCTAGCACATATTGCTAGTGTGCCAGTGTTGGAACCTATGGCTTGAAGATCAGTGCTGTTATCATTGTTTATCCCAGTCGAAACATTGCAATCATCCAAGTTTTAAATAAAAAAACAAAACATTTCAAAATAAATAAATTTGGATGGAAAAACCAGTAACTTGTAACCTGTCAATCAAATTTACATTTTAAATACATTTTAACTATTTAAGCTATAAAAGTTTTTATATAATATTCGGTAACTGAGAAATGGATTTATGCAATATAATAAATATTTTGAATCAATTTTCAAAGCTAAAAAATAAGAAAAAGCCAACCTTGACAGTCAAAATTCTATTTGAAAACAACTAGTGCAGATAACTAGGCGGCGAATAGTGCATCTATATTTTTATCCCCAAATAATTCGCTGGTGTAGAACTATTATCCTAATAATGGAGCCAGCCAAACCAGAAAATGGTGAA